TAGTGATCTCATTATGTTAGAGGGATTTTAGCCTTTGCAGAACATGTACATGTAGAGAACCCCATAGAACACACTATAGAAAAGAGAAACCCAAAATAGCACAACTTTAACTTATTTACCCATACAAATAACATTAGCTTTAATTGCGGCTACTGTAGCTTCTAAACAGCGTCTGTAAGTTCTTCAGATGACTTTTACAACATTGTTTTCTTTCATTTGGACGATTGTGAATCAGTTGGTGACTGTATACGTTTTGCCAACTCTTTGAGTGTGGGGCAAAGTGTTCACATAAACTATCCAGAAGAAAAAAAGTTTTATTTTCTTACCCGTCAACTCACACTTGAACTAATTTTCTTTACAACTGACTGTTCCGCTACTTCCACTGACTGCTGTTTTTGCTTACATAATAACTGGCATCTAAACCGCTGCTTCTGGCTCGTAAACCTCAAATTAATATTCAATGGCTATCATTGTTAACAGCTCAACCCTTTTAACATCTGATCCTCTTACAACATACATTATATTCGCTATTTAGTTGTTTACTAAGGTTAAATCATGCTGCTAATCCCCAATTTCTTACAAATGTAACAGGTTGATTACGATTACAAATCAATTGCTGTCTTGTCTTAGAATTAATCTTATATTTAAGCTGCTTTCATTTTACTCTTTAGCCAGCTATTAAAATGTTTCCAGCTGTTACCCTTCCAACTATTTAAAGTTGTTACTGCATTAAAAAAACAGCACATTTTAGACAGTTTACAGTGTTTCACCTAAATTATTAAAAAAGAGCCCACCCACTGTAAATCTTCCGAAACGTCTTCTGTAGTTTTTTTAATCGAGTGGATTGCATCTCACACTAATTAACATCACCCCCTGACATTCTTATATATTATATATATTCTAATATAGCATTATTCGTCTTTATTAAACGGTTTGGTTGAATAATCGATTCTGACTGGTCAAATAAGGAATTTCAAATAATTATTGCTAACAGACCGCTGTTAAGGAGAACAGTGCACAAATGAATGAAAATTATTGAGAGAAGAAAAAGAGATATGTTATCTATCAAAACCCAGTTCAATTAACATTCATTGGATTGTCCACTTTGTTTTTCAGATATATCACATATTTTTGAACTAAATGATACATTAATTGAAACAAAAAACTGTATAAACTGAGGAGTGAGTTTCATGTGTTTTCTTCACTCTGCTGGTAAACTGCATCAGATCAGTGCATGCGCTGCATCGTCCAATCAGTGAGCGATACACAGTAAGGGGGCGGGGCGAGTGGCTGAGGATTTCACCGGAGGATGGTCTGGTGTTTCCTAGATTATCGCTCCTCCGTTATCGCTCCTCGATCCTCAATCCTCGGTCCTCCGGCACAAATAAGGGCAATGGGACGCTACTCAAGATGGCGCAGAAAAATCAACGTCCGGTGATACCGAGGAGCGAGGAAATGAAAATAAGAG